ACAGTATCTCCCGATCCCCGAAAGATCATGTCTGTAAAAACTACTGGACGATATCATTTTGGTAAATAATGTTTGGGTAAATAGAAGATATAGATCCTCCAAAAATGCATTAATGAAATTAGGATTTTCTCGACCGCTTTTAATGAAGCTCTCATTACCAGTTTCATATGAATATTTTGAAACAAATCGATAGTATTTATTGAAGAAATAGAACATAGTACAAATCCACAAAAGTGCCGAAATGGGTACAACATTTTCAGTGACCAAATGAATTGATCTAGAGAGAATTACGCCTAAACCAACAAATATTCAAACCCCTAATTCAGCAACCCGGAAGCACTTGTACTCAGACTAACAATATATATCCACCGCGCAACGGCATATATACAGTAGATTCGTATCGCAGCCGAAAGCAAAATACAAACCAAGAAACTCCTAATGAGTAATAAACTAAAACAAATAAAGAAAAAAAAGACCACTGCTTCACATCCTCTTTGATATCCAAAGAGATCCAAAGCGCCATACTGGCTAAACCCAAACCCACACAAACCGGCAATTTCCATTATTGTAACTCTATACTCTGAACAGAAGCCAAAACCCTGTGTATGTGGGCCAAAAACGGGAACTAATTGTAACATCTCATATCGATCAACGGAGATGGGGTGATGTGCCTTATATATACATGCCCACCTCCATCTAGAACGAGGCCTTTTGGTAGCTCACTGGCTTCGGAGTCATAGGAACTCCGAAGTTAAGCGAGTTAGGGCTAGAGCAATCCCAAGATGGGTGACCCATTGGGAAGTTGCTCGTGAGTTCCCAAAAACAAAACCGTAAGGACATAGAGGGGGGCCCAAAGCAGACAATATCATGTTACGGCGGAGCCGATCCCGGGATGTGACACTAAATCATGGCCACAATGGTATTGCATGGTGGCTGCTTCAACAACCTCCAAGATACACAAAAGTTCCATCAAAATCACCCAAGTCGATCAAAATTAATTGTCAGTCCTCGGGAAAAGTATAGATCTAGAATAGACTTATACAGGAACTCATGAATCTACCAAAAAAAAAAAAAAACTAAACCGAAACCAAACCAAAACACATACAAAAACAAAAGAACCTTACAAAATCAAAGCAAAAAAGGAATTCGAGGGAAAAAAACTGAGGGATGGGATGGCGAGAAGGGGGGAGGAAGGGATGGGAAGTCATGGAAGGAAAAACAAATCAACTCGTAATCGTGGGGTTCAGAGGGAAGAGAGAGGAGGAGGAGATAAGGGAAATGAAGGGGAGAGGGTGGGGGGAAAAGGGGCAGAGAACACCTCCCTCCAGTGTGGCACTGAAGGAAAGGTGTGGAGGCTTCCGTATGAATATAAGTGATTTATGAAATGCTAAAGTTATTAGAGCAACATTTATTTTAAGAATATTAATTAGATTATTTGATGTTGTTAGTGTGCTTGATTGAACAAAAAATATCATCTCTTGACTTTTATAATTGTAGAGGTGGGCCCTAGGTTACCGAACATTTTAGTTGCGAAGTATTTTTCTATATGGATATGAGTAATACAAATACTGGATGAGAGTGAGTAATTTAAAAGCGGAGTAGTAATTGTCATAACGTCCTTCATTTTCAAATGCATTACTAAGATGTTTAAATCATTTAACTTTTAGTTTAGTGGCGCCTTTCTTTCTAGTTTTATGAATTTGTATAAGACAATTAGTATGGTTGGAAAATTATTACTAATGTTATGAATTTAAATAAGGCAACGAGTATACTCTATCCCTTTCTCCTCTCTCATATTTTTTAGCCACAAATTGTCAAATTCTGAAATTAAAATCAGATATTATTAGGGCATATCCATATAAGACAAGTGCTCGTAATTTTGGTAATAATATCTGGGAAAAATATATATATATATATGCGTGATTAATTTCCAGGTGATATGTTACCTAAAAGAAGATTTTTCTTTGTTTGTCACATTCCATTTTGTACTAAATCTCTCCTATATAAGTATAACCACACAAACAGTACACAAAGAACACATCATGGTGGAAGCCTTTCTAAATTTGGCATCCATGAACAAAAAATCATAATTTCTTCTTTCTTCTTTTGGTTAGCACAGAAAACCATAATTCACATAAATGAGAGAACCCATGAATTCATATATAAAATCCAAATTGTTTTTTCCTTTTTTTTCTTTTTCTTTTGTAACTTAATCAATGCTTTGACTGTCAACTCCCATAACAATTCTAAATTGTCCAATGACTGTTTGCCACGTAGTGTCGTCCCTAACAAGGAAACAACCAGATGAAGCCAAGTGTTTCAAAAGCAATGGGGAAGCTCGTGATCCCAGATGATGACCTACACTTTGGAGTTACAATTTTTTTCAGGCCACTCATCAGCTTCAGCTTTTTTGACAATTGGCTTTCTCACATGATTTGCGCTAGCTAGCATCTGGTTTGGGGCATATTTATTCAATAATTTTTCCTCTCTTTTTCTTTTCTACTTCTTGTGGATTGCGTGGTTCCAATTTCATGGGACGTCCACGAAATGACAATGCGTGACCTAAAAGATACCAAACTCTACTCAAAAGTCACATCTCGAAATAGAGACATTATTGGTATTTTATTAATACAATAACGGCTGTGAACTGTTGATGTACGTAAAATAACGGATTGAAAAAAAATATTACTTTTGATTAATAACTGTATTTTGTTAAGACATTATTTTTCAGTTTGTGTTATCGAGATCTCTAACGGAGATAGAGGAGGAAACCGAAAATTGAAAACCAAAAATTTTAATATAAAAGCAAGTGCTCTATTTTTTTATTTTTTTTCGGCAACAGTTAGGAAGAGAAAAAGAGTATTCCCACAAATATAGGCATACCACTATCATGCATAACGAAAGCTCTACCACTAAGCTAAGACCCCATTGGCAAAAGCAAGTGCAATCAATGAAGCTACAATTTCAAACAGCATTTATTTTTTGGAGTTTTCTTTTCTCAATTAGAAAGAGGCATATTAGAATTGCTTACCACCACCACTATGTGAGAACAAACAACAAAAGAACAATAACAATAAAAATAAAAATCTATGCATTAATTTTGTCGTCCTATTGCTCAATTGCTCTCTCTCTCTCTCTCTCTCTCATCTTCTTCCACCCAGTCGTTAGCCATGCAATGCATCGAACTGAAATCCCTTGTCCCCGAGTCTATAATTTCATTATAATTAATTATAAAACGAGAAACAAAAACAATATTATATCTAACTCAGTTTGATGAACATATACATTGAACTTCAATCATCCAAGCCTTTTAAAACTAAATTATATTCCTTAATTTATTTGAGATTATAATTAATTAATATTGTTTTATGCAGTTAAAGTTAGAGTTGAAGGAGACCAATCCCCACACAACCAACATGGCTCATATCACCATGCTCCCAAGAATCTAGTTTCTGCACTCTTGTGTCTTGTTTACTAGATTCAGATTTTTGGGGTTTTGTAGCTAAAGTTTAGGGGGGAAACTTGTTCATTGTATCTGCACAGATTAAGAACAAATGCCATTAATTATTGATTAATTTTATACCCAAATTATAATCTTTAAATCGAATTTCGATCGAACGTGTTTGATTTGAATTATTTTGAATAAAATTGTGCATTGTTGTTCCTACATTGGTGGCTTCGGGTTAGGTTCCATATACTATTTCCATGTGAATTTATATACAATTAGTAGATGAACTCTAGCTTGGAAAAAGAAAAAGACTATTGTTGCTCACAAGAGTTCATTTTCATGTGGTGGGTTTCATGTATTTGTATCAAGTAGGTCATGTGTGTAGCACTCGCAAGCAAAACATGTGGAGCTCAGCTTTATCTGGTGGGTTTCATATATTTGCATCATTTTGTCGTGTCGAGAGCTCAAATTCGTCGTCTATTACAATGTATTTAAGTTTATACATAAAATCCTTACTTGAGTTGAGAAGTTCTATTCTTTTATTTTCAATGTGATGAAATGAGAGAGAAAGAGATAAGAATGATACATAATTAGTTTTTGTAATAAATATTTTGTATGTGAAATAAAAGAGTCACTACAATGAAAACGTCCAAAAGCCTCTAAGACAAGGAGGCCCAGGAAAATCAAAATAAAAAGCGTTTACGATAGACAGAGGAAGACCATGCTCCCATTCAATTATTTATGCTTGCGTGAATGATTGTAGCCTCTAAGAGAGATATACAAAGTGAGGGAGAAAGTTGCAGGGGAGATGAGAGAGGAAAGAAAGGGGAGAAAAAAAAACACATGTGGGAAAGGAGGAAAAAAAGATAAAGAGAATCGGGATGTGTGTTGTGGGCCCTTTTTCAAAATTTATTTATTTATTCTCACAAAAAACTTAACTAAGGTTAACAATATGACATATATCACTATTTTAAGAGTAACGACGAACATACACCATTGATTAAGATGGTAAGGAAAAATGCTCGCGTTAATTTATGTGAGATTCATACTCAATCAACGGTCAAAAAGTACAATTGGATGATAGCATCCACCAATGAATGCTCACTTGAGCAGCTTAATTGATAAGGCTTGAGACTTTTTCTTAAAAATTATTTATTTTGAGAAAGAGGCTTTAGAATTTTAATTTTAATTTATTTTTGTTGGGGCTTTAGACTTTAGTAGTGTTGAAATCGACGACTCATATTGATGAGCAGCAGAACCTTCCTTTTCTGGACAAACCCTAAAAAAGGCAAAAGGAGGAGAGATTATTAACTTCCGAATCACATTCATTCATCACCGCACACGTGGAGCGTGGACCAATATTCCTCATACAAGCCGTAATTATAAAGTAAACCCTCTTCGTTTTGTGCCGCGTGGATTGTACAACGACACTCTATTTTGGCAGTTTCTGCATCAGCTTCACCCCCTTTACGATTCTTGCATCTTTTCCCTGCCCTTTTTATAAATAAATAAATAAATAAATAAAAAATCCTTTTGTTCGTTTACATTTTTAGTTGGGGCAGGAAAAAAAAAACATGAGAATTTTCAGTCTTTTTTTCGAAATCATTGGATTTGGAATTGGGATTCCGATCGGTCTTCTACTGGGATTTTTCATATTCATATACTCAGAGCCAGATGATGTGAAGGTGATTTCAAAAACAGATTAATTCAATGCCTTTTTGTTTTTATATTTTATGTCTAATTCTTATGCCTTTTTTTTAAATATTTTTTTTATGATTTAATTTCCCCTACACAATTTGCACACATGATTTAAATTTGAAGTTTATGGTCAATGCTGATTATGGAAGTGATTAAATATATTTTTTTTCTGCATCTAATTATGCAGGATCCAATAATTAAACCACTTAATGAGATTGACACAGGCTCCCTGATTGATCTCTTGCATGAGATTCCTCCATGGGTGAAACATCCTGATTATGAAAGAGTAAGAGTTTAACTTGGGGTTTTTTTTACTATTTACATTTCACTGTCAAATTTAATTTCCAGTCCAAATTATTTTGATGTGTCGTTTTCTGTGTGCAGATTGACTGGTTCAACAAGGCTTTATATGATATGTGGCCTTACCTTGATAAGGTGATTTGAAGCTCACCATTGTGACCAATGACCAAGCTTGACTATATAGTTAGTGTTCTTCATCTGTCATCACTTGTTGTGTTCTTTGATTTTATAGGCAATCTGCGGTATCATACGAAGCACGGCGAAGCCTATATTTGCAGAGTACATTGGGCAGTATCAGATAAAATCAATCGAATTCGAGACCCTGACTCTTGGAAGCCTTCCTCCTACAGTTTATGGCAAGTTATATTGTGTAGGCAATGTTGATAGGCTGCAGCAGTTGTTGTGCTGCATAAAATTCTTAAATACAAGGAACATTAATTTAAGTTTGTGTTCATTTCTTTCTGTGCTTATTTGTCTGTTAAGAGATCTTACTAATTTACCAAAGCTTTTGCAGGTATGAGAGTTCATGAAAGCAATGAAAATGAGCTGGTGTTTGAGCCTGCAATTAGATGGGCCGGAAATCCCCACATAACTGTGGTGTTGAAACTATTGTCTTTTCGAATTTCAGCGCAGGTTAGAATTCATTGCAGAATCATAAGCGCCCGCGCACGCACGCACACATACATATATTTGATAATAAGACAAAATCCCAACAATTCACACCCTCGTCGGATAAACTCTGCTTACGTGCAATCACCAAGAGACATACTTAAATTTTCACCTTAGTTTAAAAATGTGTTCGGAAAATACTTACACCATTTGGCTTCAATAGCATCCTGTCACAGCTTCTCTTCATCTTAACCTTAATGATCCCCTCTCTCTCTCTCTCTCTCTCTCTCTCTCTCTCTCTTTCCTTAGACTCTCACTTAAGTCAACTGGCTATAATTGTTAATTCTGATGACTTTTTGGGTTGACTGACAATGAAATTGTTCAATTTGGTTCTCAGCTGGTAGATGTCCAAATATTTGCTGCACCAAGGATCATTTTAAGGCCTCTTGTGTCATCATTCCCATGCTTTGCAAACATAACAGCGACTTTGATAGATAAGGTAAACTGACACAAGATTTTGAGAAACTTGTTTCTTTAAATCTTCATGTAAGTGCCATGCTCTTATCTTATGGTGGCAGATATGTTAACTTATATACATGCAGCCGCATGTGGATTTTGGGCTCAAAATACAGGGGGGGGATGTCATGGCAATCCCTGGTTTGTATCAGTTTGTTCCGGTCTCTCTCTCTCTCTCTCTCTCTCTCTCTCTCACATCAATTTGAATTATTTAACTTATCTCCAGCTAAACAATGTGGACTTTTTGAGTGAATGAGAAACAGCCAACATGATCATAATCATAGAATATATAAAAATTAAAGTACACGTTTCAAAGTACTATGAGTTCTAAAGCAACTCTAAGAATTGAAACAAGCATGAACCTTTTTTATTTTATTTTGAGTTGACTTTCTGTGTGGTCGTTTTCAATTTCTCATCCTTAACACTTGATGATGATGTTAGGTGGTCATAACCCTTCAATGCTTGAAGAGGTTTAACAAGCAAATTAATAATGATTAATATTCTGAACCAATCATAATAAGGACTGATATTCATCGTGGGCTGGAGTGGGGAGGACTTACTGGGATTTTTTTAGCAGACCCTATTTGGGTAGCTGAGCCCAATCGCTCTGCCACTTACTGAATTTATGAAAATGTTTGAAACCTGCATAAGTTTCAGCAAACTTCATTCTGCATTCATATATGATTATTATGTTTTTGATATATACGATATTCTATTTTAATCTAATCTAAACTATGAAGAGGGGGATTCGAACTCGGGTGCATAATAAGGAGCACATCCGTTCTAGACAACTTGGCTAAGCCTGCTTGCACATTATATAATTATTTCTGTGGTTGCAGGAATTTATAAGAAGACAAGTTGCTAGCCTTTATTTATGGCCCCAAACTTTGGAAATACCCATTCTTGATGGTTCCCTGTAAGTTTAAATGACACAGCAACTTTTATGCCATGGAGTTTTACATTGCAATTCAATGATTTAGGTCTGTGTTATTTTGTGGCTCAGATCAGGGGCTATAAAGAAGCCTGTAGGCATTTTACATGTGAAGGTTGTAAGGGCACTTAAACTCTTGAAGATGGACATTATAGGAACGTCTGATCCTTATGTTAAGATCAAGCTAAGTGGGGAGAGGCTTCCATCAAAGAAAACTACCATTAAGATGAGGAACCTCAACCCTGAATGGAATGAGAATTTCAAGCTTACAGTCAAAGATCCCCAGTCCCAGGTTCTTCAGTTTCATCTTTACGACTGGGAACAGGTTTGTCAAAATTAAATGGTGCATGTTTTTAGGTACCACTAATAATGAGATATCGAATCAATGTCCAATCGGGATATGATCGTAATTAACAGTGTGATAACATAACAAACGTGTCAGTAATTTGATAAGACGAGGCTTGATTGTAAGTTACGGATGTTGATTTCATACAGATTGGGACACATGACTTTTTGGGGATGCAAATTGTTCCACTGAAGGTGCTTGCCCCACTTGAGAAAAAAGAATTAACCCTTGATTTGGTGAAGAACACAAACCCTTATGATCCTCAAAACAAGAAATGGAGAGGCCAACTGGTGGTGGAATTGACATACAATCCTTTTATAGATGATAATGCAAAATACAGTGGACCTCTGGATGCAAATGTGGCAGGAGAAAACATTGGAAGGAGCCGAAAGGCATCCATAGACTTTTCCTTCCTTTCATCGCTAGAAGCAGCTGGTTTGCTTTCGGTTACAGTCCAAGGAGCCGAAGGTGTTGGAGGCAAGAACCACACCAACCCTAACCCTTATTGTTTGGTCAGCTTTGGATCAGAGACGAAGATAACCAAGGTGTGATTTATGCAATCCAATCATAGTTAAAATGCAATGTTTTCTTACCATAGTGTCAATTTGAATCGTATATTCAAATGAATAGTTAGACAACATAACATGTGTTCGACTATTATTTTAATGCATGTAATTTTGTGTAGATGCTGAGGAAAACCCAGCGTCCAAGTTGGAATGAAGAATTTCAGTTTGTGCTAGAAGAGGCTTCTTTAAAGGATAAGATCCATATTGAAGTAAAGAGTAAGAGAAGATTTGGTTTCCGTCGATATGTAAGCTCCTCATCATTTTAGGTTGTTCGTTTGTATTTTTGTTTTCGGTTGATTTAAAACTCTCTAAACCCTACTACTTATTTAGGAATCGTTGGGGTACATTGAGATCAGTTTTAGTGACGTGGTACACAACGGACGCATTAGAGGGAAGTACAATTTGATAAATTCGAAAAATGGAGTTTTACACATTGAGATCAGGTGGAACTCCACATGACACACGTCAAAGCTTTTGCAGTAGTAGAATCTTTCGGTAGAGTTTTGCTAGCAACAATGGTCGTTGAATGATTATAATTGTAAGATTGATTCATATCAATCAATGACTGTCAATCATTACGTAAGTAGCTGATGACAGCAGAATATATTTTTGTATTATGGTGATTAGACATTGTTTTCAATCCACATTATGTGTTAGAAATAGAAATTCATTCATTATTTTGTACAATCAGATTTTGTAATTGAGCTTCAATGGTGATATTAATGAGATCATCCCTTTTGTTTTGTTATTTCCAATTTGATTTTCTGTTAACATGCCTATGTTATGGGCCAAGCTAGCAAAAACCATAACATCCAAGCCCATCCATGCAAAATGGATTGAGCCCATCTTGGATTTTAAATAAGAACCAGATCCAAATCCAAAATGCCCAATTGGCAATGCACACAAAATATCTTAGGCTGCTTTTGTCTTCAACTGTGTCCTCCCAATCTAATATCTCACATCTGCATCAATAGCTGGCAACTGCAATGGCAAATGGACGGTTGTGATCTGATAACAAGTGGGCAACTGGGCCATATACATACCATAAGAGCTTCGTGATCCTCACTGCAGCAGATCATTATCTGTAGTTTCAACCAAAACCAGGGGCATTTATGTCACTCAAAATATCCACAACTTCTTCATAAACCCTGAGTCTCCAAAATCCTCAAGCCTCCTCTTCTCTGTAACCTTATCTGTTAAAAGAGGCAAAGAAAATCAAAGCAAAAGCCACCATGACTGCCTCCACGGCTTCGCTAGCTCTTCCTTCTCTTTCCCCAAAAACACTAGCCCTTTACACTCCCAAACCCACTTCAGTCCCGTTCTACTCTGTCTCTTCCTCATCTCTAACGCTCGGCTGTAAGCCCATTTCAATTTCGGCTTCATTTCTCAACTCGAGAAGGTTTCAGAGCGCGTCGTCTCGGTTCGTGCGAAACGTCGCCGTTTCGTCCGAGTTCGAGCAGGATGAGGAGGTTCTCAGCGACGATGGGGAGGCCAGTTTCGCGCCTGACCTCAAGCTCTTCGTCGGAAACCTTCCCTTCAGCGTTGACAGTGCTCAGCTCGCTGGGCTCTTCGAGAGTGCTGGAAATGTCGAGATGGTTGAGGTAATATTTTGTTTTTCGTCTAAAGTTTGTGTCTTTTATGTAAGATTTGCCTGAAAAATGAAATGGGTTGTCGCGGGTTTAAAGTTGTGTGGGAATTTTGTTGTAATTAAGTGTAAGTTCGTGGCAGGTGATATATGACAAGACAACTGGAAGAAGCAGAGGATTTGGGTTTGTGACTATGTCTAGTGTCCAGGAAGCTGAAGGAGCTGCTCGACAGCTCAATGGTTATGTAAGTATCATATTATGTTTAACCATTTGTTGATATAGAAGCAAAAATGTGAGGATTTTTCTGAAATCTTATTTCATCCGTAGTCTTTTAAACACTCATTTGTTGAATTGGTCAATATATATTTTGCTAAAAGAATGAGTGTTGGAGCTTAATCTCTGGCCTTTCTTAAGGTGCATTTTTGTTTCCGTGTTGATTGCTTGTTAACCTATTGATTGCTCTGAGTCTTGAAGTCATTTGGTTACATTTCACCATGAGAAGTTGTGTTTATTGTATATAACTATATGAGCTAGACTTTCATGACATTTTCTTAAAACCAACCTAATTGATTGAGTTAATGAGAGAACTTTTTTATACATCCAAAAATACCAATTGGTTTGAGAAAGGTAGATTGATGTAACTTGTCAAGATTTTGTTGCATTCAGGAAAGATTGGCTTTGTCTTTCCTTTCTTGATGTGATTTTTCAGGGTAGTGATTGCTTATTTTCCCTATGGATTGTTCTGAGTCTTCGCATCATGTGCTTGCTTATTATCCACGAGAAACCTGTTTATTGTATCTAAGCAAGACTTTGTGACATTTGGCAGGAACTTGACGGAAGGGCATTGAGGGTAAACTATGGACCTCCTCCCCCTAGGTCTGAAGACTCTTTTAGAGGTGCCAGAGGTGGTGGAGGTTCTGACTCCTCCAACCGCCTTTATGTGGGTAACCTTGCATGGGGTGTTGACAATCTAGCACTTGAGAACTTGTTTAGTGAGCAAGGAAAGGTTTTGGAAGCCAAGGTAGTTTATGACAGGGACAGTGGCCGATCAAGGGGTTTTGGTTTTGTAACTTATGGTACTGCTGATGAAATGAACAGTGCCATTGAATCGTTGGATGGAGTTGTAAGTATATCGTTATGTTTTCTTAAGAATTTTCCTTTTTCTTTCCATATTTTGTTCCAGTTACATCTATTATTTTGTGTTTCTAAATTTTGGTTTTTGCAGGACTTGAATGGAAGATCTATCCGAGTAACCGCGGCAGAACCTAGGCCAAGGCGTCAATTTTGAATGTAAAACTTTGCGAGTCATTGGCCAACAGAAGCGTTGATGTATAGCTTTTGACCTATTGTCATATTTGATTACTGCATCAGTTCTATAAAATTTTATTGGACATGCATCATAATCAGATACATCCTGCGATTAATTTCTGGATTTGAAAGTGCATGTTCTGATGCATTGATAATCTATTACTTGTACGAAGCATGAGTATGAGCTTTTATTTGGTTCCCTTTTTTTGGGTGTGTATTATTATCCTAATGTATGCTGATCTTCATGGTAGGATATAGCCTTTTCCCATTGCTGTTTGTGAAGAACTCCAAGATCATGCTGCCTTGCGCCACAGTTGGATTCGCGAGTGGTGGTAGTGATGGTTTTTGACATTTGCCTATAGATGGCCAAGAGCAGAGAAGAATGTTTTGTTTTCAAATTTATATTCCGAGTGGCTGGGCCAGTTAAGGAACTGATTTGTGCTCGACTTATTTTGACAGTTTATGGATTCGGTACATCGTTTGTGTTCTCGTTAATTGCATAGTCTGGCTTCCCTTTATATGTCATTGAAGGATATCTTGATTGTGTAATGAATTGCAGGAGAAATGTACAGCCAGGTCACCCTTAAGCTGATTGAATATATCGCATTCAAAGCCAGAGTTCAAATTCTCCTCTTCCTCTATTCTCCCCTGTAAAACCAGATAAAAAGAAAAAGAGTATTGAAAACGCAATTAGGTTTAATAGCTATTAACATGCAAATTAGAGAGCAATGCAGTGCATTTTAAAGTTTGAATATATATTTTTTTGGGTTACAAGCGATGGTAGGGTAGAGGGGATTTGAACATATAACTTTTGCAAGGGTAATTTCTCTCAACCCTTTTAGCTTTGGAACTGTTGACTGCAGTTTTATAATTGAAAGCAAAACTAATTTATATCTAACACTTACGACCTTAGAGATGGGCAAGGCATGCAGCCTTGAACCATGTCAAGGTGGAGGTGCTCTGTAAACCATCAAATTGGAAGCTAGGCAAAGCCAAGGGAAGCAAAGATGGGACTTGAGTGGCTCATAATGTGGCGGCACAAGTACACACAGACATTCAAATCTGCAAACATACCAGCATTAAGTTGTGGAAGTTAAACCCAAGGGTTAGCTGATTGGGGCTCGGAGTTTAAAACTACAGAAAATAGTGGCACATTATGGGCATGAGCAGCAGGATTAGATGCTCGGGCAAAACACCAAATTATGGACCCTTGGCCAGGCTCTTCATTGCAAGACATATATCAACTGGTGGCCCATTGGGTATAGCCTATGTTAATTGGAAAGAGGCCTTGGCCAAGATAAAAATAAAGAAATTCAACAAGTATGCAAACCTCATGCCACTCCCGTTTACTGTTTATTTCAACAACATTTTTTTTTTAAATTTAAAATTTTCCAGTTTATTTCAACAACTTAATATGACCTAATTTTTTGATCAATTAATTTCGGATCGAGCCCATTTTTCTAAACTCCGAGAAAAGGAAAGCAAATTAGGTCTGACTTTTGTAATGAATTTGGGGTCATAGATGGGGGCAGTCGAATCCAGTGTCGACATCCATTCATGTTGGGTGCTTCTCATTCTCTTTAATGGCCCTAATGAAGTTGAGGGCAATCATGGTTTCACGTCACATTTTGACATGAGTGGGTTCACATGTGTTCTTGCCCTATTGTTTGATTGGTTTGTAGCTTCTATATTATATGTTATAAATACATAATATAGTTTCAGGCTTTTTACAGTGTCTGTTTGAATTGCGATCAAAGACAAAAATTTGTGAGCACAATGATTCTATAAACTTTGTAGTTCGTAATCTTTGACTTGAAGCCTAAGACAAGGGATATAATATTCACTGCACACATTTGAATTTTTTATGCGCGCATTTTAGCTCAACTTAGCTATAGGAAATACTTACTTTGTCTCCATTAGCTTTTTTTTAAGGCTTTAAGAATATTTTTGTTCACTATTTTTTGCCATGATGTAGCATTTCCACTTCACTTAAAATTGTCATGTTTACGTACATAAATGTAATGTTTTTTTCAGTAGAATGGTGATGTTACACCATAGGCGAAGATGGCAAACAAAATTCTTTTGTTGATCTCTTTGGTGACGGCTAACCAGAAAAACTTCTACGACTCACTTCTTTAGTTGGTGGATACAAGCCCTTATGATAACCTTAGCTATTTACATCCAACACAAAGGCACAAGACTTTTAGAAAATTGCTGTTCTCTTTAAAAGCAGCCACTAGCTTCCTTCAAATTAATGGGAAATTACTATTATTATTGGAGCAATGGGAATCCAATGACTATCAATTCGAGAAACAAGAAGAAGAGAAAAATAAAAAAAATACAAATGATAGTATAAACTATAAGGAGAGGGGAGTTTTACACACACACACACATACACTACCAATGTGTCATGGGAGTTCGAACATGAGAATACTGATCTACAAGTTAGTGCTCTTTTCAATTGAATTAGAATCCGTTGACGTTCTAAAGTGCTCTTAAGATTTGTTAAAAAAGGCACATGAACCAAAATCATCAAGCCTTCTTATGCGCAAGACTTTGAAAATAAACCAAGCATCATATGATTTAATGTCTCATAATTCATTTGAAGCAATCAACAAATGACAAGACTTTGGAAAATCAAAAGTGGTAATGAACTAGAATAGATAATGCCACATAGCCAGGGGAAGTGGTGGTGAGTGGACTGAAACTTCCCCTCCAATTGTGAGCAAGTTTTACTTCTTCTTCTTCAAAGTCCATTATTATAATTGTTGCCTGTGGCGTCTCTTTAAATTGCTCTTATGCATGCTTGAATTGAGCTTCATCTTCATGTTACCCCCCACTCAAAAACCATCTTCATATTGCATGACTAGGTAAGAAATGGGGGAAGCTTACAAGAAAATAATTGCATGCGAAGAAAATTGTGCTGAATCCATGGAAATTAGCAAGATGGGACAAAGCAGAATGATGGGTGGGAGATTAAAAAATCTAATTAATTAATTAGACAAATTAAGTATGTAAAAATAAAATTAATTAATTTAACAAATCTCTGTCAATTTCTTTAGTCTGTACTTTCCCACTGAAGAAATTTATTTATTTATTCATAACAGAACAGATGCATAGTTTGGTCTTCGCACGCTAAACTGGTCTATGGACCCCAGTGTTTATGTCATTTTGTAAACAATTCTGTAGACTGTGTCATTTATCTAGAAAAAGATGAAGAATTTTATTATTATTATTATTATTTTTTCTATTTGAAGTATCCCATTTTGACTTGTGTGGCTGAAAAAAGCAATCTATCCGTAGACGCCAATTAAATTGTTAACTTGAAAAATAAAAATAAAAAAAAGTACTTATAACTTCAGTGATAAAACACTTATCCTTTCACTTAGTTCGATTCTTATATTTTTCTTCCCCGAATCAAGAAGCGAAAAAAGAAAAGAAAGAAACAAACTGAAGTGTAGCATAATTACCCCAACTTGAACATGACCAGCATAAGTGTGGGTAAGCTTTGATCATTCTTAAGCATGTGGTTGTTTTTGCTTAGTTTGCTAGTTGCTAGTCCCATCATTTTGGTAAATATGAGGATTAATATTGTTGTTGGGCCAATGAACTCACCATTACCAGCATAATTTTTTGGGCACAGTAACTTCTGTTGCCAAAGTAAAAGGTGCATGTGAGAAGCCATCACTGTTAAAGGCAATTGAGTATGGAATTCGAATCCCAAAACCCAAAAGCCCCTGACCAATTATATATCTATGACCATTGACCCAAAAAAAATGCAAGAGTTGAAGACCGAAAGGGCTTTGTTTAAAAAAAAAAATTTATATATAAAACTTGAACTGTTTCATTGAAAATGTTCTCTCTTCTTCTTATTAACAGGTTTCAAACTCTTCCCTCTCTTTCTACATTTTGCTTAGCATAAATATTTGTGCAAATTGCTGACTGCAGGGACCACTGTGGCCCTGGCCGTAGTTTTGAGAAAACAGGATGATGCTGATAAAGATGATTGAACTCTGCATCACAGGGACAAGACTTCCCTACTTCATTCTTTTGGTTTTCAAAATAATTGCTCACACTAAAAACTCAAAAACCACTTGGTCTATATGCTTGCTTTATATGCATTTGTATTACTGGGCAATCGTTACCTTACACATGCGATTTTTTAGCAGAATTATTGTGCAACTCAATACTGTCACGTGGCAAGAACAACTTCGCATAAGCGTTTCTTATGTCCTAATATGTGGAACTTTTATTTGGGTTAAATATGAGGAAGTTGAATTCTGAACATATCCTAGTCCTAATTTATTACCTCACTCTTAATTGCGAATTGAGCTAACATATGGATCATATTAGAGCAGTACTAAGTGTAATTAACAAACTATGATGGAAAGTGGGTAGGGATATGACTATGTCCTAGAAATAGGGGGCATTGTGCTTTAAGGAAACCAAATGATTTTCTCTTCATGTTCCAATGCTCCTTCAACTATGTGACTTTGTCTTCTCTCCCGAAATAATCGGGCTTCTCTACGGTGGGAAAATGTCAAGTACTGCACAATTATATAGCTGCCAATTATGCATTCAAAGAACTTGTGGTGGAGCCTGGATCACATTCTAATTACTGAGATAAAGTTTTTTAGTTTTTTCATCTACTGTGAAAACAGTACAGAGTCAAATCGCATTTCCTGAAATTATTTCCAGTTCAAACATATCATACTCCTTGTAATCTTTATGTCTACACCACATGAACATGGATTTGAGAAATCTAAACTTTTGCATCCACTACCCACCACTACTAAAGTTTGAGTCAGAAATGAGATATAAACTCTTGCTACACTTATCTACAATTCTTTTTTCAGAGTATAAAATGTTGGATTTGGAAAATTGATCGTGCTATTAACTTATCATAATACGTGATTTAGATTCATAGTCAAACAATATATAATATGATACTGATCTTATTGTTTCATCCACAGTTTAATCGTTGTATTCGCCTCTACTTACCGTTTTTTTTTTTCTCTAGAAATTCAACAAAGTGTGCAGTATTCTGTGACTTTATCCAAACATTGGCATGTGTTTTGTTAGTTGTTAACTGATCTAAAAACTTTTAACGAGTAAATTTAATTAATTAAAGAAAGTATGCTCGATCATCTTGGTTGGACTTACACACTAACTAAATTAACTGTCAGACAAGTCCAATAATTCCTATATATCAGCAAGGTGTGGGGTCAATAGAATCTCTTGAAATTGTTTGCAGTCAGTCCTCTCTATCAAGGTCCATATAAAGTTTTCGAAAGAAAGAAAAAATTCTTTAATTCAAAAGATTTTGAAAAAGCCATCTGAATTTTCTCTTCTTTATTTGTGTCGGCATGTGTACATATTATTAGTAAACAAATGGAGTCAAAAAGCAGCTTACAAATACGTTATATATTGTTATGATTCGAGTCTTCCAGAGAGAGAGAGAGAGAGAGAGAGAGTTCTAGACTGTTCATATCAGATTAAACCAGAATCTATCAACCCCACAAAACACACTTTAGGGTTTCGAAAACCAGTCTTTTGGTTACATGCATGCATAAAGAGGACCTTTATT